GTGTGTGAATGGGTGAATGACTGAATGTAGTGTAAAGCGCTTTGGGGTCCTTAAGGACTAGAAAAGCGCTATACAAATGCAGGCCATTTACCATTTAGTTTTTCTGGCAGAGAGTCGACTGTATGTCCCATAAGAAAAGTAAGTCCTAGGTAGTGATCGTTAGCTCTATAAAAAGATCTTGAAATCCTGCAATCTATTATATTGGTTATCTAATATAACAATCTGATATCGGTTGTGTGGTTTCCTTAGTCTCTGCATACTTGGAATGCTGCAATAACTCTTGGTTTTTATGTCTGTTAATAAAATGCGTGTAACTACATGAACTACACAAGTACAGTCCTATTTAACCAGTTTAATCACCTTCGATTGCCTCGGCTCCATTTCTGAATCATTTTCAGTTTGACAGATTGCTAAGCAACAGCAAATAACACAGAGAAAAAAATTGTAATAACTTAATTGAGACACTTGACTTTTTTGACATACATGTTGAATAGCTTTTCCCACCAGGTGTGTCGTTTTAAGTGGCTGGCTACTGAATCGTAGCACACCCAGGTGGTGTTGCACGCTCAGAATCACAGAGGCTTAATGCAGAAGTAATTTTGTCCACCCCCACCTCGTCTGTCATCCTAGCCTTTCAGCCTGGGGGTGTATTCTTCATTGCGCACATGCTCACACGTTCACTCACGTGACATGGAAACTCCGCTCAGACTAAAGGCTTTGTCCACCTACTCACCTGTTCCCACCCATCTTCACCTGTTTAGATGCTTAAGACCAAAATAGAATTGAAAGTAATTGTATTACCATCAAGTAATGGATCTTCAGTCTGGAGTGGCTGTTCGTACTTGTAGGATAGTCCCTGTGGGCGATTCAGTGAGGGTTTGACTGGGTTTGGAAGTGTCAATCTATCATAATGCCCACTCACTTAGGATACACTTGTAACAGCTAGTTGCGTGGTTAATTAAGTCCCTGGCCTCTATAACAACACTGGGTCCTGCCCAAGCTTGATCAGCTGTGTTTCCTATCCACCCTGCCTTCATAGAAACAGGTGAGACATTTTTGAACGGTGTCTCCTCTAAGGCATTCATGGTTTTGTTTGTCAGCCCTACCAGTGGAAAGTTTAGGGGATAAGTAGAGTTTTTATTTATCTTGAGGGAAAGATGAATACCTGTTGGGATTTCATGCTTATCCATTTTAAAGTTAATTCATTTAGAATGCGAAAGCTGCACAAACAACAAGAGCTGGTACAGTTGAGGATTATATGGAAAAGTGAGACATTTCCAGTGAAGTGCAAAATGAAACTCCCACGGGTCTTGATCATCTGCCCTTTCCGCACCTGCAAAATCTTTCAGCAGAACTTCCGATGAAACTTTCACAGCGGAAACGGGATGTTACTACACGATCTTGGGCTTCTTACGGTGATTATTTCGCAATGAACGATGAAGTTCACTAGACTAGTGGTCCGCAACCCCTGGGCCACCGGTACCGGTCTGTGAGTCGTTTGGTACCGGGCCACGAGAGTTGAGGCTCGGGTGTGAAATTCATAGTTTTCAGGGTTTTATCAGTTTTCAGCGTTATTTTGTTAATCATTTTTATTGTTAACTCGGTTTCCATGGGGTTTTTTCCCGTGTGTTATGAATAAATTGGGGGTTTTTTTGGTACCGGTACTGGTTTTATTTTGTCGTATTTATCCGCGACACCTTATAGGCCGGTGAGTGAAATTATTGTCGGACATAAACCGGTCTGTGGTGCAAAAAAGGTTGGGGGCTGCTGCACTAGACCACTGAAGAATGCAAAGGTTTATTTGAAGATCAGTGAGGAGAAGAAAACTCTCGTAAGATCTGAAGGACTCATCAAAACCATCTAACAATGAACCGTCCAGGAACAGTGGCACAGATGAAAACAAAGAAAACAATTCTCTAACAACACTAAAGACTGGACAGGAGGGACCTTAACAGATATTCACCTAACACCCAAGACCTGGAGTAAACTGGTGTCCTCTTTGTAAAATCTGGATATTTAATATCAAAGGGATTCACTGGTGTGGAATCAAGAATATTTGTACCATATTTCAATGCATGTATATAGATGATATTTAGGATGAGGCAGACAATTATAGTGCCATTAGCAAGTTATGGGATCAAATATGTTGCCTTTTTGACATGATGGATATTCAGTACCAAATTTCATGGCAGTCACCAATAATTGCTGCGATATTTTTCAAAAAAAACCTTGATAACCTCTTGGTACTGCCAGAGAAAACCTCAGAAGATGACCAAAGACTTCATTATACAGTGGCCATGAATGCTTACCCAAACATTATTTGAAATACATCCAGGGTGGACATTATATTGCACGTTCACCAAATATGGTGAAATTTGAAAACGACAAAAGAGCATTGGTTACACTAAACTATATATGATGCCTGTGACTCATGCCGAATAGGTGTCTAAAATCTTGTGCCTTTTGGTCAATGTTCATTAAGAACAAGTTAGTGTTTTGTCCAAAAAATGACTTAGTGGTGTGGAAACGTAAATGATTGAAGCTAAAGGTCTGTATAAATTCAAAGAGGCTGAAGTGGTCCTCTGCAAGGACTTGGTCATTAATACAAACTCTTAAAGAGTTGAGAAAGTAAGAGAAACACAATGACAGCAGTGGCTGAGCTGAACAAACAACGGGTGTCCGCTTTCATGGAGATTACATGTATGTGCTTTGAAAACATTACCACAGTTCCCTGCTTGCCTGCAGCTGTACCTTTGACAACCATTACAAAAGTAATGGTAGACCTCAGCTGCATATTTCTTCATATTTTTTCTCCTAGTTGCACCGCTACAACGTTTCAGGGGCTAATACTTGTGTCATAAACACAGTTAGTTGCAGAATGGAGCCAATCACGCAGAGTCTGAAACCCTGCAGTCTTTTGGTTGGTAATGTGAGTCTGTTGTTTATTTCTCAGCATATTAACCCCCATTCTTCTTCTTCTCTGCATGTTTTTTTTTTCTTTCTCAGCTTTTGGAGTATGTTGGCAAAGGAAAGAGTATTATGGATGTGGGTTTGGCCCAGGCCCGACAGCCACTCACCACCCGCTGTCATTACTATGAAGTGGAGATAGTCGATGCTGGGGAGAAATGCTACATTGCCCTGGGCTTGGCAAGAAGGGTGAGCTTTCTAAGAAAAGAACAGCTTTTGACATTTTTACACCTACATTCGCTGTTTTTTCTTTTTTCTTTGGGGGAGGGGGTGTTCAGCATTTAGCCACCATGCCTATTTTCCACATTGTAATATATTAAAAAGCATAGCTTAATGGTTTCAGAGCATGTGGACTGCATGAACACGTCTCCCACTGACTTATTCTTGGATTCTACTCACTCATACGCACCCTTTCCGTTCCCCATAGTTCGACAAGTGGTCGAGGTAAAAACATGCTAATGATGGAAAACTTTGACAAAAGCCTGAATTGGGAACTAGGCAGATAATTACCATGTACAAAATGTTCCTCAGGCCCTGTCTTGGGAATGTTGTAATCTTGGCCTGATGGAAGAGCAGCGGCACTCTTGTCCTTTTATAAGTTCTTTCACATACATGCAGATCCCAGTGAATTAAGAAAATAGGATGAGTTGCTAAGCTGGTAAAACTGTTTTTAGATTTTGGAGCATAGTTCAGTAGTAAATGTATTGGTACTGTGCCTTTTATAATTGATTTTTATTCCCATTATCCAGCAGTTTACCCATTCTTTAATGGCCTACTTTGGGGAGATGAAACACCTTTAAGAGGAAAATACAATTAACGAAATTTTAACACTCTCGTTTGAACCCCTATTTCTTTTTCCAAAGTATGCACATGCGGTTCCAATTTCAGCATTAGCACCGCCACTTCGAGTGCTGGCCGGCTTTAAAGAACGAAACAGGCAGAATATAGTGAAACTGATAGACAAGAGATGCTGAAATTGAATAAATCTACGATCAATATGTCAAGACCTTTCAATACACACCTGCAGAGATTTAAAATAAAAGGTGTAATAGTTTCAAGAGAGCTGTTTTAACCCTCCTCATGAAAGACAAGATTAAACTCCGATGACTCAGGAACTATTTCTTCATCTATGTGGGTTAATGATTTGTGAGTTTTTTCCCACCCTTTAAGTGTAGCCTTGAGTGTTATGGATGTGAAATATTAGTACGTGCCAAAGCCAAGGCCTACAGAGAGCTGCCAGCACTGTCTCTCCCAGGGTCAAAACTCGGCTCCTTTTAATAACAAAAACAAAAGATGAAACTTCTATAACATCTTTCAAGGTTTCACAGTGAATTTATATAGAAGAGAAACGAGGGGATGCATAGGTCACCTTACTGGATGACGGGAAGATATAGAGCTATACAGATGTATAGGAGAAGGTGAGTGGAAAAAATAGACTTGGACAGCATATGCGTGCTCCACTTACACGTTTCCTTCGTAACTATGGAATTCTTTAAAATTGGCAAATAAATAAAATGGTTTAAATGGACTACGTTGTGATATTAGCAGAGTGTCTGCACATGTACTGCAAGCCTATCAGCCTGTCAGGTGAAAGCATTGGGGAATTTTATAAGTTAAAGATATTTTTTAGACACAAGCTGCAACTATTTGTTTAGTTGGTCTATCTTATGGCCTACTGTTACTGGTAAACTGTTGTTTACTCACAAAAGAAAGGCATAGGACAACTCGAAAGAAGTTAAAAAGTTGATTACATGACTCAGTTGTTTATCCAGTGCCTTTCCTTAGTGATATTTCAACCAAAGGCCTCAGGTATGCAGTGTAAGACAATGGGTAAAATGCCTTAAATCTACATTCTTTGTAATCTCCAGCAGGGAGAAGATCATAAAAATGATATTTTCTCCATGACCTCTTTAAACACTTTTCTGATGGGTTTATAGTTACTGAACATGATGCTCATTTTGTAAATTATGATCTCCAGTAGAGTGTAAAAGAGGGATAAAGCGGGGTATGTGTTAGGTCGGGCCTGCCTTGTGACTGGAAAGGTAAGAGCGTGGAGTATCTTTCATTCATTCGTTTCACAATCAGTGCAATAAGTAGTTCTGTAACAGTTTCTACAATACTCAGTGAAAGTAACTAATGTTTTGATCCAAGGAGTAACAAAATAATTTTCATTTTAGTAGCATTTCAGAATCCACAAATGATGATAAGAACTCTTTCTTGTTTCAGCCAACACTGATTTTGCAACAAATACACATGTCAAAAATGTTAGTTGACATTATTGTTATATTTTCAGAATTATTTTTTATGCAGAAAAAGTTAAAACCAGACAAATGTCGGGTTTCACACATGTAAGTAAACACATACAGACAGTGCTGGGTGAGGAAGCGGTTGAGCGGCGATTACTTAAGTCAGTTTGCTTGCTTTCAGGTTCCCTCACCTTTTTTAAAATGGCTGCATTACTTTTGTTTGTTGGGTTTAATCAGGGTTTTTGGTATAAAAGCTTTAAGCCTAAGTTCAGGAGTGATGCCAAAGCAGCTTTTCCCTTTTTAATACACGTTACGGTATCAACAACAGACCCAAGAATCCTGTATTATCCATTATTATGACTTTTACTTGAGCATCACTATCTGAGCAGATTTTTAAAATACCCCTGAAGCTAATAACATTCCTATTAGCCTGCGTTGCACTCTGTGTTAAATGCAAATTAGTGAAAGTTAGCATGCAAATGTGCTAAACAAGCACACGTTGGCTCAAAAATGAAGCCAGCATGGAAGTGCCAAAAACTGCAGTTCCTCCAGTGGCCACTGAAGGATGGCTCCAAAAGTGAACCAATCTCCGTAGACTCATATGTTTATAGCCTGGCATTTCTCGCCTTTTTAAACCTTATTAAGCATTAAGTTTAGGGAATTTTTTAAGCTTTAAAAAAACACTTAACAGATCAAAAGAAAAGACGAAAAAGGAGGCGGGGGTGGAGTAAATTTTTCAATCCCCTAAGCCACTATTGCCAGTTTCCTGCAAAAGGGAAAGTCTGAAGAATTTGGGCTATGTGATAAGTCTGAGTTCTTTGTGTGTAAAGTAAATGCTGTTGTTTAGCGTGTTTCATAATCTAAGATCTGTTTTGACCCCGCTGCCATTCCTAGACCTGTCATGACCCCCTCGCTTTCTCTCTCATTCCTCTGAAGACGGAAGATAAGGGTCTTTATGAATGTACAGCATGCATACGCTTGGTAGCACAGTTGTTTTTCATCCGGTACACACAGCGGTTGCTAGGCTGTGGGACAAAGAGATCTAGGATTAATTATGGGGTGGAAGAGTGTAGAGAGTAGATGGCAAGGTGGGGAAGCTAGGTAAAACGTCAAGAGCTAGAAAAATCAAGGGAAAGGGAAAAACACAGGTGAAAAAAAAACACGAAGCAGGAAAGCCCTCATGTTTTGAAAAACAAACAACCGCCATCTGCTTAAAATCCTACAAAAAATGACGGTAACCCTGTGGGAGTATAGATGCAGCTGGGAGAGAAAAATGGATATGACAGAGGAGTGAACGGAAAGTATTTGATTGAGTAGCCATCAGTGTTTAAAAAAGACAGATGGTTTTCTCAGTTCACCCTTGACCCGCTTGTATCGAGTCTCTGGTAATGTACAGCAGCCCAGTCATAAAGCTACACACACACAGCAAAGCCTACACGCTCGTACACACAAACAAGAAATAAAACGGTTTCCTCTGTCCTGGTGTGCCCCGGGAACAGGTCCTGGGAACAGCGCTCTTCCTTTTCCTCTTGTGATGCAGCAGTCCTTCTAACGGGTTTTTTGTGCTGCTCCAAGAATCTCTTTCTAGCAGGGTCAACTTAGGATAAAACAAAGGATCAGTTGCTGTGCCAAGGCCTCTGATCACAACCAGTGCAACAACAGTGTCAGGGATGCTACTTAGTATAAATTCCGCTTTAAAGAATCATTCATTTATAATGCAACAATGCTAAAACAATCACTACTTCCACTTTCTAAAACTTGACTATTTTATGCTTTCATAAATCTACTACTTATCTGGGTCTAAGCTGTGGCCACCCAGCTTTTCCGATGGGACAACAAGGCATTGCTAAGCCAGCCAAGCTCTGCCATCTCACAGCATCTTCTGGGTTTGTTGTGGGGTCTCCTCCAAGTTCAACATGCCCAAAACACCTCAACAAAGAGTTGCACAGGATGCATCCTCGGCAGCTTGACTCTGAGTCCCTCCTCACTGAACAGGTTCCTCACCCTATCTCTAAGGCTGAGCCTAGACAGCCTTGGGAGGAATCTCATTTCTACTACTTTTATCCAAGATCTCATTCTTTCGGTCACTACCCGCAGTGTTTGGCTTTAGTTGAGGGTTGAAGTGTAAATTGAAAGCTTCACTTTCACTCTCAGCTCTCTCTTTACAACAGCAGATCAGTACAGCGTCCACGTCAACACAGATGACAATCCATCTTCGGTCTCCTGCTCTACTTTCCCCTTTCTCGTAAACAAGTCTCAGAAATACTGGGCAGCAGCTCCTTCATGAATGTGGATTAAACGGTGTATCTTTTGGGTTTTGGACGGTGCCTAGATGGAAAAAGATGTAAATGATGTCTGAAGATGTTGACTTGAACTATGAAAAGGTATTATTTAAAATGGATACATGAAGAACATCATATTCTTTCAGTCTGTGCTTTTCTTTTGTACATTGGCATGTGGAATAGTTTCTTGGCATGGACAGAAGCAGGAAGCTCTTAGGCTGGGAGTCAGCTGATTGATGAGCAGTGTAAGTTGGATAACTAAAGCAGAAAGAGAAGTGGAAGGCGTCAGAGCAGAACTGAACATGAAGACGAGTATAAATACAAGTTGAGAAGCAGGTTGTAAACCCAACAAATGGTACACATAAAACCCAAACTATAACTTCTTTATGAAAACCGCTGTATGAAAGCTTTTTAAAAAAATCTTCTTATAACAGCACAGTGATTGCAAGCTGTACCAACATGAGCAGTTTGACTTTGAACGCATGAAACTGCATTAGGTAGTACAGAAGTGATGCCTCCTGAAAGTGGGCCTATGTGGATACTCCACTAAAAATCACTAACTAACTTATGAACATTTCTGATAATAAGACAATAACTGTTCTAAGTGACCCCAAACTTTTAATGCAGTAGTCTAAAACATAGCTTTTCAAACTTTGTCCCC